GTGTGCGATAGACTAACCTCCACGTGGTGCACCCTGGGCAGCATATACTCATATGGCAAAAAGTCTATAAACCGGAAGTTGACTTCTGACTTCAATCATATTCGACTATTTTTACAGTACTCACCTCACCTTTGTCCATATTCGACCATTTCACAGTACTCACCTCACCTTTTTTCTTAAATTCGACCACTTCAACAGTACTCATCTTACCTTTTCTCTTCGACTTCTCACTTCAAACTACCATCACCCCACTGTATGTCAAATTCGACCCCTTCCACAGTACTCACCTCACCTTTGCTCTACTGTCGACTTCTTCCACAGTACTAACCTCACCTTTTTTCTACCTATTTCTCACTTCAAACTACCATCACCCCACTGTATGTCATATACCTCTGACTTCAAACTACCATCACCCCACTGTATGTCATATTTCACCACTTCCACAGTACTCACCTCGCCTTTTTTCTACCTTCAGTTGACTCTAGCTACCATGACCCACTGTATGGCATATTAGTCTACTTCCACAGTACTCACCTCACCTTTTTTCTACCTCTGAGTCTGTATACTTCCATAGTACTCACCTCACCTTTTTTCTACATTTGTATCTTCCACAGTACTCACCTCACCTTTTTCCTACCTTTTCTAAGCCTCCACAGTACTCATCTTACCTTTTTCTCTACCTTCGTGTAACACAGTACTCACCTCACCTTTGTTCTACCTTTGTGTCTGACACCGTACTCACCTCACCTTTTTCTACCTTTTCTGTCTTCGTCTTTGAACCACCCTTCTCTTCCCCCCGCCTCTCGATTTTTTTCACTTTGATGTTCATTCCCCTCTGTAAAGCATCAAAACGCCTGCCATTTGATATAAACTTCAGGTTAACCCTTTAACGTCCTTAGGACCGAAAGGGCCTCTTTCAAAATTAGCTCCGGTGGTACTAGACTCGTAACAGAAGGCGCTAGTGCCGTTTGCAACATGTTCAATACCTCTATTGCCTTCGCCTGTTACATTCAAAACTCATCACATCGGCATCAGTCCGCTGTGAGACACGAGTGATGAGGTTGGGTATATATTGCGAAAATAACAAATTCTAGCTTTAAAGGGTTTAATAAATAGTTTTAATTCCCATCTTTGCCATACTAGAACTTTAACCTACAGATAAACTTGGATCGATCATTTACCATCTCAATCAAAAAAAAATTAATTGAATTATCAAGACTGTCTGTTCTTAATATAATGATATCCATCAATTAGTGCTGAACATGGAAGATAAATTTTTACCCCATGCAAGGGAAAGAAAAGTGAAATGTCAGTTGGAGTTGTGAATTTTCCCTCTTGGTAAAAAGGCTACAGTTCGGATTCCCAAAGGCCAATGAAGGGTAGCCTCTTTGATACCTTGACATTGCTCTAAGTTTTGTTTTGTTCCCTCCACTATCTGCCACTTTTTGGGGGCACTCTGCTATTCAATGCCAAATACTTTCAGCAATTAAAAAATGTAAATTTTAAATTTAAGTTGATTATAATGGTGCTCTCTTCTACTCAACGTATTAATCTATCTTAGTGTACTACAACTATCTAGCAGATGACCTTTAAATTCTTCGAGATTAAGTTGAAAATTTTGTTTTCAGCACTTAAATTTTAAGTTAATATGTAGTTCATTGTCTTTATAAAATGCGTCGAATCCAAATTAACCTCAGCGTCAAAAAAGTACCTTGAAAAATCCGAAAGGTAGTCTCAATTTAATTTTCAATATATGTTTTCTCAAATCGAAACTATAAATTTATTAGATAAGAGTCAATTGTGTGTAAGATCGGTGATATCCTAAAAAGCTCCCTCAAGTTCAATGGCCAAAGCTCCTCACATAAATTAAAATTCTGTGAGTTGATACTTGGCATTCCATTCACTAGTGTTTTTATATTATATTAAATCACCAACTAAAAATAATTTCATTAAAACACCGCTATCGATACTGAACTTACCTTTACTAATGAGCAAGTGCTTATCTTGAGTTCGTGCGTTTATTATAATAGAGGCTATCGCACTAACGCTTGTATCATTGGGTGTTGATATATCAGGATGGGACAATTAATTTCTTCAATCGACTCTAAACACTGGTGGCGTCAACCTTTATTCAGAATTATGTTTGGAGTTTGAACAGAACATTAGTCAGAAAAGTGGAAAATTAAATTAATTTAGAAGGAACGTGTCACAAGAGTTCTTAGATTCCCCATTTCTATTTGATAACTTCACTCGGTATTCACTCTGAGCCTGCTGTGAACTGCAGTCATCGAAGGAAAATGTCGCGAAAGAAGGAGACCATAAATCATCTTTATGTAGTACTAATCAGGGGGGGGGGGTCGGATAACCTAAGGGTCTCCAAAAAAATCATTATCTAATTACCGAAATACTACTTTGATGGGCTTATTTGTCCAAGTGAAAAAGTACTAATTCCTTTGCTGGAAAGTACTCGTACTTTTAATCCAAAACAACCAATTAAATTTATATTAACTCATATCTTGATTACTATTATCATTTATTATCTAAGTTCTCCTAATTAACATTAACTATGACAAAAATTATATATTTTTGAATATTTTATTATTTTAGAAAGTATTTATGGTATACATTTATATATACGCCATATTATTGAAAATGTCAACGTAGTAGGTATAAAATCATCCTTTCCTGTTTATAGCTAGTGTTATGTTGGCCTAATTTCTAGGTGAAAGCGCAGATTTCTACAATAAATTGTACTCTATATTAAGTTAAAGATCCCTTAATGAAGGTCATCTCGGTGGTGTTCTACGTGATGCACAATCAAGGCCAATGTATTGTTTTATTGGCCCATAAGCAGGTTTGAACATCGTGACCAGAGAGTGGCCTGGATATTTGCCGCTGTGTGTGTACTGGCTTATCATTAGTCACGTCTACAGCTGTTGCTGGCACAAGGCAGCTGCACTTCCCCTGTTCTGACATTTTTACGTGAGTGAGCCTTACGTGGCTAATTTATGACGTTTTATAAAACGCAAAGTTAGTCACTTCTATCCAGCCGTGTAATTTCTGCTTCCAAGGTAATGGGAATGATTGAAATTCGATTCTAAAACTCTGTTTATGTCCTTCTTATTTTGCATCTCCTGTTTAATCTTCGGATAAATTGCCCTACAACCACACTTATTTAACCCAATTTCCTAGATATCAAGACACCTTTCAACTTTAGATAAACATTTGATGATGTTCAGCGCCAATTTCAACATTTAAAAACGCAAAGAAAAATGCTTTATTACAGAGTAATGAAAATTATAAATTAATAGAGTGCAAAATCTCTGAATCACATTAGAAAATAACAACATGCTTTCAAAAAAACATTCGGTTGTTAAGAGAAAGGCTTTTTTTAAAAGGACTGAAAACGTTTTACCAAAAAACGTTTAGGGATTTAGAGAGAGAAAAGAAAATGAAGAAAGTCGATTGAAATACTTTTATTGGGTAAAGCATTGACGCATGATCAGCATGCCATTGCAGAATTTAATAAATTATAGTTATAGGACTGCACCGGGCAAAGGTGTGACATAATAACCTTCATAGATATGTGGGATTTTCCAGACATAGGAATGCAGGATTGACGCCATTGTAACAGCAATGGAAATTCAGCGAAAAGCAGTTGCACACATATATGATCTGTTCACAGTGCCTTCTTGAATTTGTGCACCCAATAACTCACACCTCTGCCCTAATAACCAGGTACACATTAACACAATCGGACACCCACCGTATAGAAGTGCACCGCCTATCTTACAACCTGGATTGACCCCCCTTTCTCTCTCTTCGTTACCTTATTTCCTTCCTTCCAAATCCTCTTCGTACTCCTTTCTCTTCCTATCCATTTCATACATGCTGTGGACTCTTAGCACTACTTGAGTGTTGGTCTTAAGGGGGTGTTCTGGTCTAGAAAAATATTTCAAAAATCTTTTTGCATATTTTCATAGTTTAACTATTCAAGAATATGTCTACGAGAGGATCTTCCAAAATTAAAAGTATTTTCGGAGAAATAAGTATTTTGCTGAACAGACATCCAAATCGGTTGGGCTGCAACTAATCGAACAAAAGACAATGGGTTCTCCGACTACCTGAGTCTATATTTCCCAGTAAGCCCTTTTGTTCCGTCATATCTATCTATCTATATATTTTTACATATATTTATGCATATATATTTCATCATAATTGATTTACGGAATAGGAAAACACCAGTTTTACGAGTGCATCAGCAGCAAAATTGAGGAAAACTATGAGTGCATCAGCAGCAAAATTGAGGAAATCAAGTGATGAAGAAGTAATTATAGATAATAATTACGGATACTGTGTTTTGGAGTTTTCACGATCTTTTCAGCAATGTCTTCATTTATTTCGTGTACTACATACAACAACGAGATTATATTTTTAAGAACGGCTCAACGCGGACTCGGGTTCAAAATTACATTTCGCTCCAAAGCATATCCATTCCGGGTCTCAGATCATTTAAATTGCAGCATTTGTTGCTGTGTGCATTTTAATGAAGGATTTATACCGATATTGAAGATGATGACGATTATGGGAGAGAAAATTGGTCCAGAAGCGCATGCATTTGCTCTCAGACGAGACAAGGCCCGAATTTTCCGCTCCGAGATACGAGCCTAAAGCGCATCAAAGGAGGCCAGAACTGCTCGAATAGAAAACAGAGACGCCGAAAATAGTTTTTTCGAAGTCGATGAATGTCCGATGTATGCTGCAGGAATGGTTAATTGAATAAATTTAAGTTAAAAATATAATTTCATGACTTAGATTACAAAAACATTTACTTGAAACTTTAAACGTGTTTTTCTCAAAATTGTGTATTTGAATCTGATACCCACGATTTCTCAGATTCTGCCGACCCGATTTAATTGAAATTTTAAGAGAGTCTTCATTAGAGAATTGGCTATGTCCTGAACTACGGCTAGTCTCAAATTTTAATTTTTACTATTTTTAAAAAATCGAAGAATGTTCAAAAAAGTGGTACAAAAATGGTTTTTTTCTTTAGACAGTCGCCATTTTGTAAAAAATATATCTAAAACTTTTTTAGTTCCGGACATTGCAACATAATTGTAGATTGATAATCTTTTCTATTTTTTGATTTCAGATTGCTTGGAGAGTTAAAATCGGGGGTATGGTCACGTACCATATTTTTGAGACCCCCCACCCCCATCAGCTGATAACTAACTGAATTTTAAATTTTTAAATTTTTTATTTTTTGTATGCTTTAAATCTGAATAAATAATATATAAAAAATTGATAATAAAAATATTGCTTGCTTTTTTACAGCACTTCAAAAATGGCCAAAAATTCATGTCATTAGACCAGAATACCCCCTTAATACTAGAGAAAAGTATTGAATTCTATTAGTCGAAGGTAGTTCGTCAGTTCTGTGAGGAGATACATGAGTAATTTTGTCCTTAACCTAAGTTATTTTTAGAAAGAGAATTGGTGTTCTCTCAAACACTAGCAAAAATAAATTATGATATACACGCATAGTTAACAGTGATCACTTACTTATTCATCAATCTTTCTGAGGTTTGCATAAACTTTAAAAAATTGATATACACATATATATATATATATATATATATATATATATATATATACTCTCAAGCATTTTTATAAATATTTTGAAAACCACTGTTCATTGAGAAAATGAGTATCTTTTAGCTTTTGCTATTGTAAAATGTGGTCGACACTTTTGTAGCCCGAATAATCTCAAAAAATAGACATAAATCACGGAACTCACCAATACCACGAAAATACCGCAACAAAAAGACTTTTGTGCTTTCGGCTCTGTAAAGTCGTCAGAGATGTAAAATAATGTGTACTCATCATTCTTATAGCCTAATTAGCCTCCAAAATAGCCATATAAACGAAATTTAAGCACTATTTTGCTTAATCTTCGAGATAGCTATCGATTTTTTTGCTGTTACAAAGATCCAACTCCCTTAACAAGACCAGTTTCTGTGCAGGCAGCATAGTGCACAGGAGAAGCACATCCCGAGATAGAATGAATCGACTATATGAGATTTTATAAAAATCA